AATGAGACAGATACAAAAGGACAAATATTGGATTACTATGAGGCACATAATATGAGGCTTATATGAGATCATAGGACAGGCAAACTCTGAGGCAGAAAGTAGACTAGAGGTTACCTGGGATTGAGGAACGGGGAGGGGGAATAGGGAGTACTGTTCGATGGGTATAGAGTTTCAGTTTGGGAAGATGGAAACATTCTGGAAAGGAATAGTAGTGATCCTTGCACAGCAGTGTGAACATTCTTCATGTCACTAACTGTGCAGCTAAAATGTTTAAAATGGTAAATTTTACGTTACATATATTTTGCCACAATAAAATATTTACGAAAAATGTAATGAATTTATTATGGTTATTTTTAAATGACTCCATAAGTAAATTTTTTAACTTCTCAGTCTTTTTTTTAAGATTTTATTTTTATGTAATCTCCATACCCAACGTGGGGCTCGAACCCACAACCCAGAGACCATGAGCCACTGGCTCCACCCGCTGAGCCAGCTAGGCGCCCCTTGAATTTCTCAGCCTTAATTTAATACTAAATATTAATAGGCACAACTCACATACACAAGAGCTGTTTGGGGTCCTCAATAATTTTTTTTAAGGTTGTAGGAGTGCCTGGGTGGCTCAGTGGGTTAAAACCTTTGCCTTTAGCTCAGGTCATGATCCCAGGATTCTGGTATGGAGCTCCATATGGGGCTCCCTGCTCAGCAGGGAGCCTGCTTCCTCCTCTCTCTCTCTGCCTGCCTCTCTGCCTACTTGTGATCTCTGACAAATAAATAAATAAAATCTTTAATAATAATAATTTTTAAGATTGTTAAAAAAAAATCCTTAGAGAAGCAAGTTTGAGAACTTCTGCTCTGTGAGCAGCTGAGCTGAGCCTGAGCTAACTGTCCCTGACACGTCTCTGCCAGAATCAAAAAATTCCCCATTAAAAGGCAAAAAATGTAGTTTTACGTTTCTTCCGGCCAAAGCAGACAGGCGACCTCTAGTGGAAGTACGAGGTATTGCTTGACGGCGCAAAATTCCTCGGTAATTTTGTAGAGGACACAACTCAGTGCTCACACACACACACACACACACACACAAGATCAAACTAACACACACATGCACACGGTCAAACACGGCTTCACACACACAAACTCTCATACAGACCCACATACACACACACACACAGCAATACTGTAACACAGAGAACCAGCCTCACATATGGGCACACAGTCACACACGCATACACACACGACACTAAAAATAGCATATGATTAACAAAGGGCACTTAGTAAATTACCCCCATTCTCTCTTTTTTTTATTGTAGTGGAAAATGAGTTTCTTCCCAAAGCCATTAAATAAATGTTGAACAAGTAATTAAGATGAATCTAGGTTTGGCAGCATGCCCGATTAGAGGTCCACGATCCCTTAGCGGAAGTCCTTCGGGACGGATGCATTTCAGAACTCAGAACTGCTCCAGTTTTAGAAAGGCAATTCTGAGCTAATGCTATATTTTGCGTAACACTCCCAGGGGCCTAAGGCAGCCCCCTCCCCATCAGACATGTTCATATATTTGCAGCAAAACACGTGTGAAAATTCACACCAAAAGGAGATAAAATAAAGAGCGTAAATAAATCCTATTAGTTCACCTGCCACCAAGTGGGCCAAAATTACCCCCAAAGAAATATTTTTCGGTTGTCACAGCTTTTACAAATTCGGAACTGTGGATAAGGGACAAGGGATACTGTTAGCAGGACCCTCGCAAGTGCGGGCACTTAGATTCCAACTTGGATTGTAAACCTGGGATTCCAGACCCGGGGACGTGGCGACCGGGCGGACGGCGACCCTTCGGCGCCCCCTCCTGGCAGTCCCACCCCTCGCAGCTCGGCTGCAGATGGGATGTCTACTGGCTTTGGCCTGATCCAGCGATGGGTCCTGATTGGCCTAAACCTTCCGAGTAATCCCGCCTTCACTTGCCAGTGAGTGGTTGAACCCATTGGCTCAGGCTCAGGCATTGGCTCCAGGTTTGTCATGTGACCTGCACTGATCCAATGAAACTGAAGGAAAGGCCTTCAGCGCACCAATAGAGGCCAGGCCTCCGTCCCTCGGAGGGTTGGGAAGGAGTTCAGGGAGGCACCCTGCGAAGCCGCTCGGGCATGAGGCTGACTCTATGCACAGAAAGAACCAGAAACGGTTTGCTGAGCGCCCAGCTGTCCGACAGCGCCACCGTGCTGGGGCCAAGGCCATGCTTCCCTGAGGCTTCTCCCGGCGACGGCACGGCGGGTACTAGTGCCCGCCCGCTACCACCCCACCCAGCACTCTGATGGGCAGCCTTTGCTTGAGGACCCCGAGAAACACAGCGCCCCCACCGCCACCCGGACTCCCTCACGACCCTGTACCAGCCTCAGGCCCTCTGGCCCAGTCCCTCCATCCCTCCCTCCTCTCACGGCAACCAGATGGGTGGAGGCAGCGATGGTTGCACAACCCTGTGCTCTATGCCCTGTACCGTACACTTTAAAATGGTTTATATGGTAACTTTTATGCTTTGTGTACTTTACACACACCACGGATTTTGACCACCCACTTTTCTTCCAGGCCACCATCTTGATCAACCCACCATTGGCCACCACCGTCCCTCCCTCACCTGAACCACAGGAGTGGCTCCTCCCTGGGATCCCCACTTCGCTCCACCCTCGCCCCGTACCGCTCCTTCCCACCCCGCAATGAGAGAGTCCTGTTGACAGCTAAGCTAGCTCTGTCCCTCCTCAGCTCACAGACTTCCCATGGCTTCACCTCACTCCAAGCAAAAGCCGAAGTCCTCAGGGCAGCCCGCGAGGCTCTGCACAATCGGCCCCCTTTTTCTCTCTCGGCTCACCTCCTCCTGCTCTCCTCATCACTCACTCTTCTCACTCACTGGCCTCGTGGTCGTTCCTTGAACAAGCCAAGCACCTGAGCCTAAGGGACACTGCATTTGCTGTTCAGACTTCCTGGCACAAGCTTCCCTCAGAGATCCGCAGCCCTGGCCCTCACTTCTGCCCAGTGACCAGCAACTCCATCCCGCTCTGTCACCTTGGCCCTGATTATTTTCCTCCTTGGTGCTTCTTATGACTGGACATAACGTATATCTAAGTTATTAATCCTATTTTTTGTGTCGCTCCTATAATCTGTCAGCTCCCTGGAGAGCAGGAAGTTTTGCCTGTTTTGTTCATGGCTGTGATCCCAGTGCCTAAAATAATGCCTCGCACATCATAAAGGTGCAGTAAATGTCTGCTAAGCCCACAATTAGGAGACAGTGGCCAAAAAAGAGACTGAGAGATCATGAAGAGAGACCAGCACAGGGGAGGCAACAGGGCAGAGGGGGCTGAACCAGGGAAGAAATGGGAAAGTAGGTTGGGCGGGAGAGCAAGGTGGGCCTGTGGGGGCAAAATGGGGGAGGGAGGAGAAAGGGAGAGAAAGGCGAGAGAGTCAGAGAATCGAGTGAGGGACAGAGGCCAAGACTACACTGAGACAGGTCAGGGGAAGACAGAGAGGCAGAGACACATGAGAGGAGGGTGGGAGAGGACGGTGGAGACGGTGGCAGGTGAACTAATAGGAGTTATTTACGCTCTTTATTTTATCTCCTTTTGGTGTGAATTTTCACACGGTGGAGAGGACGGTGGAGAGGTGGAGATGGTGGAGAGGGAGACACAGAGACAGGAAGAGAACCGAGGGATGGGGAGAAATGGAGCTGGGGAGAAGAGGGCAGGAAGCTAGAAAGACAGCCCCGGGGGAACAGAGAGGCAGCAGCAGTCCCCACCTCCAACTCACCACTTGCTGGTCTCCAGAAGCTCCAGATTGACTTGATGTCCCTTGGGATCCAGGCTGGGGTTTTTGAATCCCTGAGGGACAGAATCGGGTGGAGAGAAAGAACATGTGATGCTGTTCAAAAGGCTCCAGGCAGCTCACTAGCTTATTTAATCCTCACTGAAACTATGTACTATTATCATCTTCGCTTTACAGGACCAGAAAGGTTGAGGAACCTGCCCAAGGTCACAGAGCCAGTGAGAGGAGGAAGAGCGGGAATTTGAATCTGGGCATCTTGGCCCCAGAATCAGTGCTCTTTAACCATCACCTGTGCTAACTATAAAGGGGCGCTGTCTTCCTGGGTTCCCCTTCCATCTGGAGACCCCCCCCTGGGAAGTGGGTGCTGGAAGGGTAGAAGGGAGGAAGGCAGGCAACCAGAACGACTGACATTCTCAGCCCAGTCCTCATCCGCAGATGTCCCAGCCTGAGGGAGGAGGCTAAGCTTCACTCTTCTGGGAAAGTCCCAGTTCAAGGGAGGAGGCTGGACAGGAAAACTGCTTCCTGCCTATAGGGCCCAATGTCCTGCCCAGAGCCAGGCCTCCGTCTTCTGGGTAGGAAGAAAGACTCAACTACCTTTGACTCTCAGCAGGACCTGTATCTCTGCCTCTGTCCACCAGGAGTGATGGAGACCAGGGAGGTTGTACTCCTCTTCAAAGGCAGCACAGCGCTGGTAACTTCTGTGACTTCCAGGGAGGCAGAGAAGCCCACTACCACCCCTGTCCACCCTCCTCTCTCAGACCCTCAGTCTGAAGGCCTCAGTCCCTTCTGGTAGCATCCTGACGTCTCAGGGTGACTGAGCTTCTATCCCTGACATTGTAATTATAGTAGTCACAACCCCCCAAACCCTAATTCTTGCCCGAAATCATCCCATCTCTCCCCTCATCTCCTGTGTTGTAACAGGAGAGCAGACCCTCTACCTCCCTCCAGACGCCCTCCTCTTCTGCCCCAAGTATCCGCAGAGCTGTGAAGTCCTTCACACTGTCTGACCTTCAATGCCCCATTGCAGAGAAGCCTCCTCCCAGCCCCAAAAACCACATGATGGCGAGAGAAGAACACCCACCCCACCCCCACCCCTACCCAGGTCAGGGGAGAAGCCACCTGATCCACCCAGGGCAAGAGAGATGAAGATCAGACGCGGGTAAGGCCTTCCCCTCACAAACTTGAAAGTAGAGACATCTCGCAAACAATACAACACAGCACCGGGCAGTTGGGGCTGGAATTTATTGCACAGGGACATGGACACGGAGATTGAGAGAGGAGGGCGGTGGGCTGTGGGCTCTATGCTCAAAATCCTAGGAGGGTGTCAGGAGGCAGAGGTCAGGATGGGGTCTGCCAGATGGTGGAGGACCCCGGCCTGACGGCAGAGGAGCGAGGCCCCGGGCCAGCTCCCCTTGGCGCCCCCACCCCCATTCTTCTGGATGACGACTCCGGAGACGCTAGGCGATGTCATGAAGAGGGAGCCCGGGCCCAACCGGGTAACGGAGCATCCGCCGTGGGGGCGCGGGCTCTCGAGATGCGGCGATCCAGCTTGGGTTGGAAGGGAGGGTTACCCGGGTCCTCGACCCCCCGCGGCCTCCGGCGTCTCTCTGGGTGTCTGACGGTTCGGGCGGCGGCTGGGGTCGCTGTGGCGGCGGCGGCGGCGGCTGCGCGGCAGCTCGAGCTGGGGTCGCGGCCCGCCGGGGGCTCCCAGGAGGCAGGAGACCGAGGCAGCGGCGGGCGCCAGGGCAGGCGGCGCGCCCGGACGGGCGGCGCACGGAGGGGACGGCGCGCTGGGCGGCGGGCCGGCGGGGCCCGCTGGGGGCCGCGTGGGAACCCAGATGAGCCCGTAGTAGACGGCGAGCAGCACGGCGGCCAACGAGACGCAGAGGAAGTAGGCGCAGACCGGAGCGAGGCGCAGCCAGCGGCCCCGCGGGCCTTCGCTCAGCCCGGCGCCACCCGGGCTCTCGCCGCCGCCGCCCACGCAGCTCGTGCCCCGCATCCCCGCAGCCCACTGGGCCCCGCGCAGCGGCCCGCGCAGGCCCCGCCCCCGCGCCCAGGCCCGCCCCCGCCACCCACCCCCTCGGAGGACCGCCTCCGCGTTCTAAATCTCCCTCGTCCAACCCCGCCCCCCCAGCATGGTCACGCCCCCGAACGGGCGGGTCTCCTCCGGGCTCTGGGTCCGCCCCCTCCCCAGTCTCCAGCCAACCACCATCAAGCTAAGGCTTAACTAGCGTCCCGACCCCACCCCTCACTTAGCTCTGACCCCGCCCTAGGCCTGCAAAGCTAGCTCCCTGCGCTTCCGACTACCGCCAGGCTTCGGTGTGATGCACACACCTCTTACCTGAGAGCCCGCCCAGAGCCTAGCCCCGCCCTCCCCTTTCTGGCCTCCTCCCCCAGCCTTAACACCATCCCCTTTCGGGATTCAGACTTCTCCCAAGCATCCAGCCCCGCCTCCGAGCTCCACGGCCTTGCGAGGTTCAAGCCTCACAAAGCGCCCCCGTCCTTAGCCGCAGGCCCGCTCCGCTTCTAACTTGCCTTTCTCCGAATCAGACTCGAAATCTATTGCATTCGAAGCCGCCCTCTTCTCTCCCTGGACTCACGCTCTCTAGTCCAGGCTCCACCCCATCCTCCGCCTCACTCCACTAGTTCTAGCACCGTACTGAACACGCCCCCGACCGAGGGCTGCACCCCACACCCGCATTAAGAACGCCCATCTAAACCGGCTCTCGCCGCTCCATCCCACATCTAAGGCCATCCTGCGCTCTAACTCCGCCAGAATTCTGGCCCCGCGCCGGCATCCTAACCACGCTCCCGGCGGGACCTCCTCCGTACTTAGTGTCCTGAGGCCTAAACATCCCCGAAGCCCCAGCTGGGCCCCACAACCCAATCACGCCCCTTCCCCAACTCCTCCCCACCACCCTCTATTTCTCCCTCTCCCTAAAGTCACGGGATTCAGAGCGGTCTCCGGGGAGGAGAGAGCGCAGCCTGGGAATCCAGACTAACCCCCTCCTGCCGCCCCCACCCCATCAAGGCGGGGAAGCTTCAGTCCCCTCCCAGCAGCGTCTTCAGGAATTCGGGGAGGCCTGCGGGAGGAGGGGAGGGGAGGGAAGACGTATCAGGGGGGGTGGAGAAAGGAAGACCCCCTTCCTCCCGCCTCTTCCGCCACGGAAAAGCCCGCCAAGCGTAGCAACCCAGCCTTCCCTGCCAGAAACACAGTTCAAAGGTTAGCGGAAGCACTGCGTTTAATAGGCGACGGGGCGGTGGCCCGGTAATTCCGAGTCCAGTGGAAGAGTCACCGGCTATCTGCCAGGCCCCAGATGTAAACCGGGAGGCAGCAATCTAGGCCCGGGGACCGGCATCTATCACCCCATGGCTTCCATTAGCTGGGTGATTCGGGGGCGTCTCAGCCCTCCCGGTGCCACGGCGCCCCCTGAAGCGTGAGACTGGACTATTGCCCTGGCCCCACCCCGTTCACGGTCCCTGGCTCCGCCCCCCCCTTACATTTAACCCTCTTCTGGCGGGAGTGTGACGGAAGCAGAGGACAGAGGCGCAAGGCGGCAGGAGGTTAGTGCAGAGCTCGGAGGCCACGGTCGGCGGGCGCGGTCAGCGGGCGGCCCCCGGTGGCGGAGCGGCAGCCAGCACCTTGCAGAAACGCACCCTCTGGAAGTCGGTGATCTCCGCGGTCTCCTGGCCCTCGGTGCCCGCCTCTGAGGAAAGAAGAGGCAGTCAGCGGAGGGGACGGTCTCTCCCACTTTCCACCAGGACACCTCCTCCCCTGCCCCGTCCAGTTCTGTCTCTGATCCCAACTAAGCCCGGCTGCAGTTGCCCCGTGCTAAATGGTTTATGGGTCTCGGACTCCCCTCATCTTCGCAAAGGACCCACAAGCTGCGTGCACCCCAACAGAAGCCTGTTTACAATCGATGAAATCATTGTAGTCACCCTAAACTGTCCTCGCACACCCCAGCCGCCGACCCCCTCACACTCCCACGGGCATAAACTGACTCCCATCACGCCCGCCCTATTGGACCTGTCCCTCTCTGCCCTTGCCCACGAGGAGTGCTGACCAGATCTCCCTTGGCTCTGCCCCAAACTCTAACCCCGTTCCTGGGGAGGTCCCTGGATCGCAAACTAGTTTGATGGAGGTGGAAGCAGCCTTGGGCCCAACATTCTCATGGGGGTCTGCGTTTCTATTCTAATTTATCCTACGTGGTTAGACCTCAAAACGCCAATCCTGCCCGCAGCTAAATCCGTAATTCTACCCCTCTCCCATTTAAATTCCTAATTTTGCCCTCAGCCCCGCCCCCTTGAGCCTAGCCCCACCCCATTACTTTTAGAGGACATCCCCAGACACCGGGGTCTGCCTCCACATCCCAGTCCCATCTCGGCTCCACCTCCTCACCCCTCCACTCAATCCCCTAGGACGAGATTCTCCAGTCCACCGCCTTGACCTTGGCCCCCGTCTCGCAGGATCCTAGCACGGTAGCCTCTCCCCCACGTCCACAGCTACGCCGCACGTACCCAGCTCCACTCTGTCCTACTCTCCCCAAACCCTCCCCTCAGCGCCAGAGGGAGAAAAACAGGAAGGAAGCTGGCCCCACTGGGCTCCGTCCTCTCCCCCACCTGGAGCTGCGTCAGACCTTTCCTCCTCAGCTTTCTGGGTTCCTGGGAGGCTGGGCCCACTCTCCAGGGAGGCAGGGGCTGGCTGGTCACCTCCTGGGGAAGGAGGAGGCCCAGTCAAGTCCCTACCCCTCCCAGTTCTCCCCCACCCTGAGAGCAGGCCCTGGGGGAGTGAGGGGTGTTCAAGGACACACTTGGGGAGTATCATTTGAGGACTTGAACTCTTTATTGGGGACGGGGCATTCCAGAGACAGGTATGGGCTGTCCTCCCTAGCCACCAGGGCGGTGGGGCACCCAGGGTCCTGGGGCCCAGCCCCAGACAGCCCCCACGGCCAGTGCACCCCCGGAGCGCGCGCGCGCACAAGCAGCGGGCTTCATGCATTTCCAAAAGGCCAGGCCTCGGCCGGGGACAGGACGCCAGCCGGGTGGGCATCCCGGGGGGAATTCAGCTCCATCTCTTCACCCCAGTCAGACACGGGCTGGTGGTCCCCAGGGGGTGAAAAGGGGCTAGAAGGCGTGGCAGGGGCCTGGGGCAGCGGCAGGGGCTTCTCTGGCCCGGGCGGCTCTGTGTCAGCCTGCTCACCGGTGGGACTTCCGGTGCGGCTTCCCGTAGGGCTTCTGGGGGCCTCTGCCTCGGGGGGTTGGTGGTCTCGGGCTGGTTCTTCCTCCTCATCAGCTTCTTCTTCTTCTTCCTCGACCTCCTCTTCCTCCTCCTCCTCACTCACATCTTCCCACTCCTCATCCTCCCCCTCATCCTCCTCCCCCTCGTCCTCCTCCCCCTCATCCTCAGGGGGCCGGTGGGCGGGAGGAGCTGGGGTCTCCAGCGGCTGTGGGGAACACAAGGCAGGTCGGGGAGAGGAGGTGGGCCCCGAGCACCCCCAGGCCCCCTCCCCAGCGACGAGAGCCCGCCCTACCTGCGTGGCCGTCTCCTCAGGGGCAGTGGGCTGGGGGGGCCTCAGGGGCCGGGGACACTGCCTCCTTCGTTTCCCAGCGGTCATCATGGTCACTGGAGGGGACAGAGGAAAGAGGTGAGGCCCGGGTGGCCAGGAAGAAGGGGCGTCTCACCTCCACGTCCTCCCCTGGAGAAAAGCTGCCAAATTCAACTCAGGGCACGAGGGGGCTGGAGCTTTCCAGGAGCGAAGCCAGCACATGGGAGAGCCGAGGAGGAAATGGGGGGGGTGTGTCCCCAGGTGTCAGGGACAGACAGATGGAGGGGCGCCAAGTGGCAGAAGAGGAGCGAATGGAGATGAAGGGAGAGATGGTGGTAAAGCAGAGAGCTAGGCCCGAACTCCCCAGAAACAAGAGCCAGACCCACAGAGAGACGAGCACCGAGAAAAGACAGGGGCGAGACAGCACAGACATGCCCCCAAGTGCAGGAGTCAGAACCACCACGGATCGAGCCAGAAGCCCTGCTGGGGGCACAGGGGTGTGCACACACCAAAGGAAGGGGTGCCCCCCACCTGTAGGCACGAGGGGCTGCCTTGGTCTGGGGTCGGCTACTCTTCCTCCTCCTGCGGCTGACCTCCGCTTTGTGCTGGGTCAGGAACTCCCTGAAAGTGGGGGGCTTGGGGGGCCGCGTCCAGGCCTGGTCATCTGCAACAGAATCCAGGAGGAGTCGGGGACAGGGGCGTGGCTCAAAGTAACCCCTGTGCCGGGCCCTGCCAGCTGCCCACCCCCCACCCCAGGATACCCACTCACCATAGCGGTGGGATGGTTCGAGGGCAGCAGCTGGGCCATCCTTGAACCTGGGAAAAAGAGAAAGCGGGTGAGCACGCAGCTGGGGGAACAGTGGGAGCAAGAGGGGTGGGAAGAGATAGGGAGACAGATGGGGGCCAGGGTCAAAAATCAAGATCATAGATGATCAACCAGAGGAGGTCACTGATTAGAAGGCAGACAGGATCAGGGGACGGAAAAGAGGCAAACTTGGCATTGTAGTGACAAATAGAAAAAAGTCAGTATTTGACCCCAAAAAAACAAAAATTTAGGAAGTACATGATCTCTAGCTTCCAGTCTGGCCTCAGTTCCTATCACTGTCTCCCATCTCCCCAGCTAAGCAGAGTCTCCTACCACACAGAGCTCTGCCTCAGGGCCTTTGCACCTGCTGCTCCTGGGACACTCCCCCAAACTTTTCAGTGGCCTGCACCCTCACCTCCTCTAGGCCTCAGCTCAGACTCTCCTAAACCCCTAACATAATCACATGTTATTTTATATATATCACCAAAGTCTAAAACAAGAGCCTCCATCCCTCTCCATATTCTTTGCTGTTCTTTGTGACCTACCCCTGGTAGTGTCTACCTTTCCAACTAGACTCGAGGCTCCCTGAAGGCAGAAGTGTTTCATTCATCACTGTATTGCCATCACCTTTCATGACACAGATAAGAGACTCAATAAATATTTGCTGACAGGGGCGCCTATGTGGCTCAGTCAGTTAAGCATCTGCCTTCAGCTCTGGTCACGATCCTGGTGGAGTACCAGGATCAAGCCCCGCGTGGGGCTCCCTGCTCAGTGGGGAGCCTGCTTCTCCCTCTCCCTCTACCCTCCACAACTAGCCGTGCATGCTCTCGCTCTCCCTCAAAATCTTTAAAAAAAAAAATTTTTTTTTGCTGGGGAGCCTGGGTGGCTCAGTTGGTTAAGTGTCTGCCTTCAGCTCAGATCATGATCCCAAGGTCCTGGATTCGAGCCCCACATCAGGCTGCCTGGTCAGTGGGGAGCCTGCTTCTCCTTCTGGCTGCTACTCCCCTGCTTGTGCTTTCTTTTGCTATATCTCTATCAAATAGATAAATAAAATCTTAAAAAAATAAAATAAATCTTAAAAAACAAAATCTTAAAAAAAAAAAAAAAAAGGGGGCTATGGAAATCAAAGCATGCACGCGCTAATGGACCGGCTGCAAGCTGCCTCAGAGACACAAGGGACGAACCCTGACAAGGTCTCCCTAAAAGCCTCCAAAGGGTCAGCTACAGTATCTGTGCAACGTATTCTCACACTTGCACAAGCTCTGCCCCCTGATCCAGAAATGAACGCTCCGTGCACTGGGCACACAGCCAACAGCCTCTCTGTCCAGCCAGCGCCAACCAAACAGGGCCGGCGTGAGAACTTCCTGAGCAGCGGGGCAGGCAGCACGGCATAACAACGACAACGGCAGGGGCGCCCGGGGGGGGGCTCAGTCGGCTGGGAGTGCGACTCTTGAGTTCAGCTCCCGTCATAATGCTGGGGTCATGGGATCAAGCCCCACGTGGGGCTTTGCACTCAGCAGGGAGTCTGCATGAGGACTATCTTTGTCTCACCCTCTGCCCCCGCCCCCCCCCAAATAAAAATAATAAATAAATAAACTCCAGCTGCAGATCTAACGATGACTGCTGGCTGGCTCTTCAGTCCAGAGACCAGCCCTCCTATCAATGACACAAGGAAGAGCTTCGCCTGAAGTTGGACTAAGTACATGATGCTTCCTGGGGCCCAAAAGGGGACCAGGCCAGATAAGGGTAAAAGTGCCCCCCGGATGAGGCGTGTGGGCTGGGGGGCGGGCATGCAGTTTGAAGGTCTCATCACCGGCCGCCCATCCTTGCACCTTCCCTGTTTAGAACGTCCATCCGTGCCCTTAGCCAGGGCACCGCTACACAAACCACCACCTAGATCAGCTTAGTTTCCCGCCACAGCAGTGCCGCCATCGCCAACAGGGCAGGGAGCGTGTCCCCCTCCCTCCCGCGCACCTGCCAACGCCATGCCCGGCACTTCTCCGGAGAGCGTCTGCCGCCTGAGCCCTGGAACGAACCCACGGGGAGCCGAGCACAGCCTGCACCGGGGAGCCAAGCCCAGCCGGGATGCCAGAGGCAGAGACAGAGGGAAGTCGGGGTCAAGGCCAAGGAGCCAAATGGGGGCGAGCAGAGGGGACACTCACATCCCGTCGGTCTTCTCGGCATCCCACTCCCGCCGCCACTGGCCAGTGGGCTTGCGGTGTCTCTGCAGCCGCTCCTGGTCAATCTTCTCCCTCTCCTGCTTCCAGCGCAGATACTCTGACCGCTCCCGGCCCGTCATGGACAGCGTCATGTCACCAGCGCCGCCTAGGCCGGCCCGGCGGCCCTGCCCACCCCACAGACAGGCAGTTAGGGCCCCGTTCCCCAGGCCGGCCCACCCCAGCCTCTCCCCCATGTGCCTGCTGCACTCAGCAGTAGGGCCATGCCCAACACGACGGGGGACAGGCTGGAGGCTGGAACCAGGTCAGCTCCCGAGGCACCTCTGCGGAGGCCGTCCCAGATCACTCCCTCTCAAGTGGCGCCCTCTCTAGTCCCTCTCCCTGCTGGAGTTTTCTTCACAACCTTTCGCACTACCTGACACCCCACTGCAGGTTGGTTTACACAGCAACCCCCCCCCCCGAATCAATTTCATTGGGGCAGGGGCTTGGCCCTAAGACAGTCCCAGTGGGCACCTGAGTGGCTCAGTCATTAAAGTCATTGCCTTCAGCTCAGGGCATGATCTCTGGGTCCTGGGATCGAGTCCCGTCGGTCTCCCTGCTCAGCGGGGAGTCTCTTCTCCTTCTCCCTCTACCAAGTCCCCCACTTGTGCTTGCTCACTTGTTCTCTCTCCCTGAAGTAAATAAAATCTTAAAAAAAGAAAGAAAAAGAAAAAGAAAAAGCCCTAGCACCTAAGTCCATATCCAGCACCCAAAAGATCCCATAAACACTACTGACAATCCCGAGAGGACGTCGCCCAAAGGCTCCATAAAGCTAAAGAGGAAAGCACGACGGTGCCCAAACGAGAACGGACCATCAGCTCGTGGCTGAAAGACGGGGAGGGGAGGCTGCCCCCCCAACCCGCTGTCTTGGCCACCCTGGGCCTGGTGCTCGGGCACCCCCCTGGCACCCCCCATCAACGGTCACTGCAGGAAGGACAGGCCGTTGGCAGACTGGGGCTCGACCCAGGGTGCCCCGGCTGCCGGCACCCACCTGCCGCTCCTGCTCTAGGCCACAGCGCACCCGCTCGAAGTCAGGCCCCCCCCAGTTGCGCCCATGCCTGCGGCTGCCTTCCCGCCGGTCCCGCTCAGGCTCCTCCAGGGGCCCGCTGCGTCGTCGGGGGTCATCCAGGAAGTTCCGCACTGGGTTGGGCTCCAGCACACCTTCCTACGGGCACAGGGAGTTGAGGAGGAGGGGTTGGATTGCTCACGGGGGCCCAGGCAGCTCCGCCCCGCCGCAGGGACACCCATGGCACTGACCCGCTGGTTGCGCTCGTACTCCGCTATCTTCTCCATCTCCTCGTTCATCTTCTCAATGTTCTGCCGGCGCCGCTCCTCCCACTCCTGGGGGCAGGCAGGACACAGACAGGGACGCCAGGGGTCAGCATCCCCGCAGAGGAACAACCACAGCAGGCCGGGCCTGCTCACCAGGCCGGCTCCGGGCTGGCATCTGGGCATTCGGCTCCCAGCACGTTCCCGGGCAACGGTTAGCTATGAAGGGAGCTCAAAGCACCTCGGCTGTCTGTGCCAACGGTGTGGCATGTGCTGGGCGCCCGCTTTCCTGCTGGGGTCTGGAACTGGGGTTTGTACGAGGCAGAGGGGACCTAAGGAAACCCCAGGCAGGGAGTCCCTGGTAAGCAGCCCTTTGTCATCAGGATTCAACGCTGGAGGAACTGAGGGCACCATAAGGTGTGGCTAT